ATGTATCGATTTTTGTTATTGAGCTTTTAAACGATTTTCTTTTTTGACATTGTATTTTGTAGTTGTCGTCGTAGCCAATCATCTATTGTCACTGATAATCTTTTGTGACAAAATTGATATTAAAATATTCACATTTCACTCTTATTTTTTTTCATACGATTAATTTTTCACAAAATTCATTCAAAATTGATGAAATTAAACAAAAAAATGAATATTTTTTTAGATGTTTGGTGACTTTCTTATATTTATGCGATTTGGGATGTTTGTTCGAAATCTGAACGGCGAAAAATATTCTAGAAGACAAACAACATACCTCAAAAATAGTCTCATTGAATGATCATTGAAAGAGATTGTAGTATAAATACATCACACTTTTAAATGAAAAATTATTGATTTTGAGTGGATTTTGTGAAAAAACGTCATAGAAAAAAGAAGAAGAGTGAAATATGACCGATAATGAGCAATGGCTAGCTGCTACGACGGTAAAAAAGTGTAGTGCTTAAAAAGTAACATGTTTAAAAGTTCAATGGCAAAATCCTTATACCTTTAAAGTTCAATGTCTAAAACGATATTGTTTTAGGCATAAGAACAATCGTGCCAAAATAATATGTTTTGATGTTTCAGACTACGTCAACGACCGTTAGTCATGTTATTGTCTCGTTATTGATTTAAAGTCGAAATTATATAGTTGGAAATAAAACTAAAATTTAATGTTATAATTGATAAAATTAAAAATTCAATGGTATAAACGAGTCAATGGGAAAAGTTCAGGTGTATGTGAAGTAGTTCTTCCTAATTAAAATATTTAAATAAACTTTGAATTTAAGAATAATGAAGGGACTAAAATATAATTTGATCAGACTTTTAATAGGAAAAAACCCCGAGGGTTCAAATATATGATGATGTGGATGAATATGATTGGTTAGAAAGGGTGATGAATGTGAGGTTGACTTAAGTAAAAAGGTTAAAGTGAAAACATAAAAAAGAAAAAAAAACGATTTTTTAGGATGATGACGTGGAAGAATCAGGAAGGTGGGGGAGCAGGAGATTTGGGAAGTTGGGATCACAATGATAATGTACCCCATTTAGGATTGTCACGCCAACATAATCTTGACATATATATTCTCATTTTTCATTTTCCCTATTTTTGATATAGGTGTAACGGGTAATAACCAATCGAACTAAATTACCCAAATTTAATTAACCCATTTTTTCTATTAATCGTTAACCAAATCAATTTTTTTAAAAAAAAAATTAACGAACCGAACTAAGCTCGGTTAATCGAATTAACCAAAATTTATAAATAAGATATAAATAAGATATATTAAATATTAAATATTTATTGGTTTATTCAGTTAATTAGGTCGGTTAATTTGGTAAAAAACCGAGTTTAAATACCCATAAAGCTAAATAATATATATATATGTGTAATATTAAATATTTAATAATTTCGGTTATTAAACGATTTGGAACCGATTAAGAGAAACCAAAATTTGAAAAAAAAAATTAGTAACCATTAACTGACCAAAATTTCGGTTAAATCGGTTAATTCAATTTTAACCGAACAGTGAACACTCTTATTTTTTTGAAGGTTTATATAAAAAATTATCTTTTTTATTTTCCCATTTGTTATTTTATATATGTTTTTAGATATATGTGTTAAAATATTTGAATCCTACTCGAATAATTATTTAGGTTGATGATCAAGTTGAACCAAAGGCTAACTAGAAAAAAAATTAATTCCATCGTATGTTCCCAAATTTTGACTTTTGAATATTTTAGTTTCGTTTCTAAACTATGACTCTAATTTTAAATTAGTCCTTAAATTTAAACATTTCAGTTCCATCCATAAACTATGACTCTCATTCTAAATTAGTCCCCAAACTTTTGAATTTTCAAATTTCATCCTCAAATTCTTCCAAATATGTAATTAGTTTCAAACATAGTTAACCTAATTTTTTCAAACATATAATAATATAACTTGGCTAACTATTTTATTAAAAATGAATGTGATTAGTATACACATAGTTTAGGATGAAATTAGAATATTAAAAGAGTTTGGAGACCAATTTAGAACGAATGTTGTAGTATGGGAATGAAATTGAAATATTCAAATTTTGAGGACTAATTTAGAATAATAGTCATATTTTAAGGATAAAATAGAATATTTAAAAACTTAGAGACTAATTTAAAATGACGGTTATACTCTAAGGACATATAATACAATTAACTCATAAAATAATAAAAGATTTATACTAACAATGTCTTGTCATATGCATACAAATAAATACATTTATGATTATTATAAGTAAAATGTAACAGTGATCGATCAATGACAGTCTGATAAGCAAGAGTGTAAACAACTGTGACAACAACATACAGAGATGGATCACTCTAACGTCCCAAAGCATCAGACATAAAGGAGGAAAACTGGAAGAATATTCGAAGTGAACAAATAAAAAACGAATCGTCCTTTAATCACAGTTTCGTTTGACACATATATCTACTAACATTGTTGTTGCTTTCAAGCATTGACTCGATAACATAATGTTTTAAGCATTGGTTCTACCATATAACTTAAATGGGGAGTTGATCCACTGAATATAGCTCACACAATTTTGGGATTAGATTTTATCATATCTCAATCAACAGGTTAACGTCAAGCTCAGTCGATCGTCGTTTTTTTAACGAAAAAGATTAATTTGAAACATATGAATAGTCAGGTGACTATTATATAACTTTTAATAGTCGGTGACTCAATACCTTATAACTTTTAATAGTTATATGACTCAACAAAACAACACCCTATAATTGATGGATCATTTTATAACTTTTAATAATCGAGAGGTTTAACCACATAACGACTTATAGTTGGGACCATTTGTATACTTTATTCAAAATTTAATTATTATTATTTTCTTTAGAAGTTCTAAATCTAATCCTAATTTTTCTAAAAGGGAAGAGAAATATACTTTAAGAAAAGGATAAATTACATCATTCCTCATTGAGCTATACTATGTCTTCTATTTTATTCATTGTACTTTTAATATTTTTAATTTGCTCACTGAACTTTCAAATTACTCCTAATTTGATTACTTTGAATTATTTTATTATTATTTTTGTATGATGTGACATTTTTTATTAGTATTTAATATAAAATAAATTAAAATATTAAATAAAAGCAGAAGATGGTCGGATGTTACCGCCGACCACCGTTGGTCGTCGTAGATGGTGGCTGTTCGGTCTCAAATTTCATGTGTCACTTTATCTTGACACTGTGAGTCTGTGAGTCTAAGTTCGACCTCCATTTGTCGGAACTTGCTTCGAAGTCCATGAAGTGGATATTGAAAGTGAGGAAGTCGTAACGTTTCAGTCGAGATTCACATATTTTGTGACATTTTTCGGGGAAATAACCATTAGATTCAGACTCAGGGGTCGAGACAGATTGACTCATGAAATTTGGGACTGATCGACCACCATCTACGACGATCGACGGTGGCATATGATCATATTTTGTTTTTTATATTAAATAATAATAAAAAATATCATGTCTCACCGAAATAATAACAAAATAATTCGTAGTGATCAAAATAAGAACAATTTTTAAAATTCAATGAATAAATTTAAAAAATTTAAAATACAATAAAAAAATAAAAAAAAACAATAACTTAAAAGAATACTATTCAATAAAAATAAACAACTTAATCAACCTACGAATATCTTAACCATTGAAAGTAAAATTTTCAAATTTCAATCATAGTATATAATTAAATCAGTTAAAAGAAAAAAATATCAACGACTCAGCTGATCATATAAACTTTTTGTCTTTTGCTTTTCCGTCGAGATTTAAGAATACAAACAAAGCCACGTGGTTTTTAAAAATAAATATTCATACAAAATAGAAAGGATAAAGTACGTAAATAGCCCACAAATAGTGAATTTTACATCATTTTGGGTACTAAACTTTCATGAGTTATAAAATTATCATAGTGATGATAATAAGGTTTGAAAAATTAATCTCTATTTTATAAAAATTGATAAATTTAATGGTATTTTATAATTTATGGTGATTATTTTCAAAAAGGTTTATCAATTTAATAATCACTCTATAATTTGTAAAAGTTAAGTGGATAAAAGATATAGAAAATCATAGTTTAGATACTTTGGTGTACTTTAACCAAACGAAAAACCAGCCATTAAATTTAAAAAAAAAACAGTACTACAGAAATCAATAAAGTAAGAGTTAAAAGAGAGCGTTGAACAACATATAAATAAAAATGTTTGCAATCGTTAAATGAATATATTTACTAACACTAAACGAATCAAATCTAAACATCTTAAAAAATAAATAAACGAACACGACCTTGTTCGTTAAGCATGATTCATTTACACTCCTATCTGAAACCAGATAGGGCCGATGTGGTTCGAGCTAAACGGTGTTACGAAAATGGAAAGTAGCGTAGGATTGCTTTATTAGACAATGTAGTATGAGCCTTCACTGTTCTGTAATCTTGCGGTTGGAGGTCTTTAGAAAGAAGCTTATGCAGTCGCTTCAAGAGGATGAAGAAAGTTCGTTTGGTGGTCCTCGTATCGTTGCGAAACTAACTCCACCGGGTACAATTTTCTTTTTTCCATGTTCACCGAGTCGAGTTCATTCGAGCTTCATTTGTGAGATGCATAATTTGTTGTTCAGAGCATAAGCATTCCCCCCCCTTTTCTTATGATATAACCCTTGGTTTGTTTCAACGTCTACAGAAGACGATGCGACCGTTCCTTCAAGAAATTCTTTCGAGGAGCATGACGCAGACGGTATGCTTTGCACTCCATCGTTTTTGGCAGGCCAGCCGATTTTATTCGTAGATATGATACTATAAATCTATGTTGCTTCAATTCTTCTGCATTTTTTTGAAGTTTTCTGCTTCTACATTTATCGATGCTCGAGCAAGCATATGCCGGTGCGGTATCATGAAAAGTTGCAGATGTTTGCAATCTATTTTTCTTACTAAGTAACATTATAATGGCAGCCTCCAGACCTGGCATGCCTCAGCTGCGAGCATCACAAACAAGCACACCTCGGCTAACTCCTCTGGCTTCCCCACCGAGTCTCTCAGCTTCTGCTTCTCCAACAAGAACATCGAAGCCAGTGTCCCCTAGGAGCCATTCGGTTTCGTTTTCTACCTCGAGAGGCATGTTTGATGATAGGCCGTCGGTACCGAGCTCCGATTCCAGATCACTGACAGGTTAGCTTCTAAGTGTTCTAAAATAAGACCTTGTAGGTTGGATTGCAATACTAACTGCTGACAAAGAATTCTAAAAATTAACCCGGTTCGACTTCTTTCCGGATACGTTTCAGGACGCACTCGGGTCGATGGAAAAGAATTCTTCCTCCGAGCCAGGTAAAGCAGAATCAACTTATCTGATTACATAGCGCAGATTTAACTTGTTTTACAAGACAAACTAAGCAAACGTAATCAAATTACTCTCAGTTTGTTCTTGCTTCTTAATTTATATTACCAGTTTCGGAATTTTGCTTGCACCTTACGAAATTTCCTATCTCATTCGTATTCATCAGGAACCGATTGTCTTACGAGCAGTTCGGCTCATTCCTGGCAAATGTTAAAGAACTGAATTCCCACAAGCAAACCAGAGAAGTATGAGACTCCCTGTCTGAAAATTTTCTTTGTTTTATCTGTTTCTCATTGTGACATTTTCAACTCATTGTTTATCGGAATAATCCAGGAGACTCTAAGGAAAGCAAACGAGATTTTCAGCCCCGAAAACAGAGATCTTTATGCAATCTTTGAGGGTCTGATTAATCGCAGCCTTCATTAGATCTGCTTAAAGCTAACACAGTGCCCACGGTTTGTAATCATCTGTTCTTCCACTATGTGATTTTGACAACTTCTGGTGTAAAGTTGCTTTATAAAGCCTCAAACTCTATATATGTATATGTAGATACTGTTTGGTTGGTGAGAAAACATAGGAAATGCATGTCAAAGGAACAAGAAATGTACCGAGTCTTTAGATTCTTTTTGAAATTTTATCTCTATTTGAAGCATAGAAAAAAAAATTACTATGAAGAATATGATCACAGACGTAAGCTACTGCAGAAACATGAAACGAAGTTTGGAATTTAATTTTGGATGATCTCCATCCATTAATACAGCTCCGAGGATTTTAGTTCAGAATATTTCCCGCAAAATGAAACGGATTCAGTTGTTTCGATAAGCTCGGGATCAGAAACTGCTGTTTGGTTATGTCCGTAATCGCAATAAACATGCGACTTTACCGTGTGGCGATACCTGTGATGAGTATGCTTCGACGTGTATAGCCTGGACAATAGGTGCTTGATAAACTGAGCTTCGGGTGTTCTCCTCGTCAAGTGCAGCCGATGTAAGGTCCCGGCGAACTGTCTGACTTTATGTCGAGTGCCGAGTAGAATGAATGTGATCTATATTGGATTTTTTGATTCGAATTTTATTCGTCCCTACTTATATCTGACCTATATTTGAAGATGAGTACAAAAATATGATTTTCCAAGTGATAACGTTGTCATGTACTTGTGTGCCCCAAACGTATCAGATATGGCTATATAGAGAGAGAGGTACTTAATGAGTTGAGCAGTTCATGTGCTATTTAAATTTGATTCAATCAAAACTTAATCAAAGCTCAATTTGGTTGATTTGACTTCGACTCGAGACCTTAACGAATTGTGTCAAGTAAAGTCCAACTCAATTTAGTAAATTCCCGAGCAGTTCGTTAATTTTTTTAGTAGTTTGGTGATTGCAAACAACAATGAATGAAGAGATATTGATATCCTTATTTTTAGTAGCGATTATGTATCGTTGAACTCCTTTTTCTTTCCAAGAATGTTTTTAATATGTTAGTTTGATGTATTTGATGATTGTTATTTTGGAGTTTAAACTTTAAAATTATTTTATACACTCTTTTGATAATTTTTTAGTTAAATTTGTGAATTTAAGTTTATATTTAAATTTTATATAATATTAGTAAATTTTAGCCATAGTTAAAAATATGAAGTAAAACTTTTAGTGTGTGTAACGAGTAACGAGCTTAATGAGCAACGAGTCGAGTTGAGCAACAAATTTTTTTAACGAGCACGAGTCAAGCAAAATTTTTACGAGCAACGAGTTGAGTCGAATAATAAAATCTTTTAACGAGCACGAATCGAACACTACTTAACTTATGATCGACTCGCTCGATAAATACTCTTAACTATATATCTTATCCGTATCCTATACCGTATCCTTGTTCGAATATACCAGTTAGAGTAACGTAAGGGAACATGAAGTTTGCATAACATAACCTACAAATATCCAAATGTATCAAATGTTGATTATTTATTTCTATGTTTCTTATATATATATATATATTTTATGAATAACACATATTATCTGGACTAATTATAATCTTCTTAAATTTGTATATTTGAATAACTATATTGTTTTAATACTCTGGAATAATTATAAGATAATATTATTGAAAAAAAAAATTAACCATCGATAATACACATACCTTGAAAATATAACTACTCAAACTTAAGACTTTTAAAGAACACAGTTCCCTCCTACAATTGAAGATGTTTAATAGATTTTGAACTAATTATACTTAATACATTGAAAATCACAATCTCTAACAATATCAATCGAGTTAAGACCAAATAAACCAACAAAACTCCCTACTAATCTAATTTTTTTTTGTTACAAAAAATTTAGGTATGGGGTGACTCTCTTAATCCAGGGTGAGACCATACTTAAGACCCAATTAGAATTTACATAGGACTTTACAAATTATCTACCAAGAATGACGGTGGTGAGATTTGAATTTGGCCTTAAATGCTCAAATTTATGAATCTCAACCACTTGTGCCAACACTCGTTTGGATCTAATTTGTCATTTAAAAATATTAACATATATTCTAAATTCAACCTAGTGAATATTTTATTCAAATTTTACATTCAATGTGAATCTCACATATCCCCAAACCCTAAAATTTAAAATTGATTATTGTTTTCTCTGAATTTTATATCACACTAATTCCCACAATTAAATGCACCACAAATAAGTTATTCAACTTGTATTTGGTAGCTCATTCATGAAAAAGGAAAGCAATCAAGGATTGGATAGTATATGATTTCTGGGAAATAATGTAAATATAGATTTAAGGAAGTATTCAGAAATTAATTCACTGATATTTGTTCAATCTGTTAAAATCAATCTGCCAATTAAGGATTATGGAGCAATTAATAGCATGAATTTCAATCGATTCAAAGGCTATAAATTTCTTCATTTTTATCTCGATTCTACATCAAAAGCTTAAACAGTTTTGAAACAATCGAAGCAATGAAGAAATCAATTTTACTAACCAATTTAGTCTCTGCTTTGCTTGTCCTTGTTGCTGTTCAAGTCCATGGATTTGAGCCCTTTGATTTTGAATCTGAATTCCCACAGGATTTTGAAGCTTCCAAATTTACTTCTGAACCCCAATATTTTCCAGAAACAAATCCTGAAGAACCTTCATTGCTTTCACAATTTGAAAATCCTCAGGATTTCCAAGAAACCCATTCTTCTAAATCTGAACGTCCTTATGATCCATTAGAAATCCCAAGTTTTCCCGAGAAAACTTCTCGGTTATCCGATAACGAATTCCCCAAAGAATTTGAATACCCGGTAGAGTCTTTCGAATATGGAACAGATGCACTCCGTGAAATCAAATCGTCTCCACCATCTCCTTCTCCACCGCCATCAGAATCACAATCCCCGTCGCCGTCGCCATCAGTTCCAGAAGACACTTGCGTTCACAAGTGTGGGCAGAAATGCCTCAAAGTATTCTTTCCTCCCCTTCGCAAAATATGCCTCAAATTCTGCAAGAAGATATGTTCGCTCAATCACTCAGTTCTGGTCTACAAATGTACCAGTCGTTGTGCAGAAACCATGCCCAGAATCTTCAGATCCGGTAAAGAACATTCTCTTTCTAGAATCGATGATCGTTTCATTTTTCTGATAAAAAAACTAATATTTTTGCTTTTATTTTGAATTTTTGCAGACTTGAAGAAATCAGCTGGATATGTGGAATACTGCAACAATAATTGCATAGCGAAACTCTAATATTTTTACAAATAATAATATATTCTGGGCGAAACAAATAAATCAACATTTTAAAAAGTAAATCATATCACAAATTCATATTTGTATATCGAAATTCATGCACTGAAAGTTGTATTTGCGAATTCTTTATCTGAAAAATAAAACAGATTTGGATTATTGATATCTGACTCTACAAATAATATTATATTAAGGAATACGACTATCGGATAAAATAAAATCGCAACTGATAATTTAAAAAAATAAATTTTTTTATTGAAATCTCATCTAAACCCCTCCCAAACATATTTGGAGCCTTAGGATGATAGTTAAAGCTTGTGATTAAAGATGACATACTGGCGTAATTTCGTGGATTTCACATTTTATCCGTTTCTATTAGGACGGGATAAGTATAAATGTAATGGGTAGTGGGCAGTGGGTAGTGGGTAGTGGGCACCCGTCCTTAGTTGAAACGAGTACATTTTGTCTGCTGTGATTGTCTTCTACATGGATGCTAAGGCGATATTGCATTGTCCCATTTCTTCGGTATCTTCCGATGTACTTACTTGGAGCGGTCTTTCCTCCGGCTCTATTCAGTTTGAAAAGGGTAAAAATGACTTTTGTGCGAGCACATGGCTTCTCCTTGCTACCGGTGAAGCACTACAGGTTGCTTATCTTGTTGCCATCGCTTCGACCTCCGTCGATTCTCCATTATCTTCCTTGGCGTTCCATACTTGTCACTAGATGAAACCTCCTTCCATGACCCTAAAGATTAATGTTGATGGGGCATGTTCGAGGCTCACTGATTCTCTGATCGTCGGGATCATTGTGCGTGACAGCGTTGGCCTGTGTATAGGGAAGCTGATGGAGGGGTGACATGGTAGTTAATAGAAATTTGTATAATTACACATTTGATTCTTAATTTTTATATATTCTATTAATTTAGTCTTAATGTAATTTTAATTTTAGACACATGACTCTAATAACATGTGTCATAGCCATGTATTGACATGTGTCATCTCCTGATTGAATGATTAATTTATAAAGTTAAATTTAAATTAAGACTAAATTAATAGAATATACAAGTATTGAGGATCAAATGTATAATTATGCAAAATTTTGTTAACTACCACGTCACTCCTTCGTTAGATTTTAACGACAAGTGGCTTAAATGACACCACTTAAATAGTCCAGTGATCATATAAACGTAAATTTAAAAATAGTGGTTATTTTGATACCAACCCTTAGTTGGGTAGTTATTTAAGTACCCTTTAACTTATTAAATTGGTTTTCAATTTATTTAAATCAAATGATGAATATTAATGAGTTAATTGTATCATATGTCTCCAATCTATCACCCTCATTTCAAATTAGTCCCTAAGCTTTTAAACATTTCAATTTCATTCTTAAACTATGACTATTATTCTAAATTAGTTCTCAAACTTTTGAACATTTCATTTCCATCCCCAAGCTATAATCTTCATCCTAAATTGGTCCCTAATTTTTTTAATATTTTATTTTTATCCTAAATTATTTGTATATACTAATCACATCTCTTGTTAATAAAATCATTAGGCAAGTTAAACTATTATATGTTTGAAAAAAAAATAGGTTAAACTATGGATGTAATGGACTATTATATTTTACTTTGGGACTACTAAAATAACTTTCCAAAACTCATTACAAGGAATTTCTATTATACTAGTCACAGACGATTGTATAGTCATCCTAGTGGATGATGGAATGCAAGCATTTCTATTGCTTCCTCTTGACCTTTTCCGCACAGCAATTGGATGTCCATTGACATCCGACTGAACAGGTTTTCGTGGAGTGTTCTTCCAATTCATCAGACTCGCCAAGATCAACGGGCGTTTTCTTGGAGGATCTTCTTTTTCTGGGATGGCATGGACACAGCACGAACTGAAGTGAACCTGCGGACAAATCCTATGGAAAACAAGCAATGTTAATAAAGCCACAACATATCAACAAAGTCGAGCATTCCTGACCATGAACAGGCCATAGAAAATACCAGGTTCCTGTTCTGGCACCGCTTTGACGGCCGGTGTTGATGCAGGAACATGGATTCCTGAAGAAACACGTAGTACAATATCGTAACTTCAGTTGAGACAGCAGGATCAACTTTCGGACATACAAAACATACAGGTAATCGTAGCCAATACCACTAACATTTGCCAAAAAAACTCTAAAAGGAACATACCCGAACTCCTCTGTTCGTCGGTGGGTTGATCGCCGATTACTACGTCATCACCTGAGACCTCATCACCATCATCCAAAACCTCGGTTTCATCTGTTCCTTCACCTTCACTTTCAAGAGAAGCGCCGCCATCGAATTCATCCAACAACTGGGTCTCCGTATTCTCGCAGCAATCTAAATCATCCAACACTTGTGTTTCGTCGCCAAAGTTCAACATTTGAGTTTCCTCACCAAGGTTCAGACATTGAGTCTCGAACTCATCCTCAATTGGAACATTATTATGATCTACAGAAACTGTATTTTGTAGAAACTTTAATTCATCATCACCATCATCATCCTCATTATCATCTCTGTCAACTATATGAATTTTTTCCAAACCCATAATTCACATAACATACGACAAAAAGTAGAATCGGGAAACTGAGAGTCAAATTCATCCTCAATTGGAAAATTGTTATTATCTACAGGAACCGTATCTTGTAGAAAGTTTAATTCACCACCATTCTCAATATCATCTCCTTAATTTCACATAAATTTTCAAATGAGTTAAAGCGTAAATAACTAACAATACTGAAACATTAAGTAGAAAAAAAACCAAAGATTGAAATAAACATACCAGAAAAAGGAGAATCGAGAAACTGAGAATCAAATTCAAAGGGCTGAGTCTCGGCATGTGCAGAATTGGTGCTTGGGTTCGTTTCAGAAGGTTTCGTTTCGCCATTGATGTCTCCAATACTGCCTATTGTTTCACTTCAATTTCATCTGAGAATGTGTTTAAAGACTGCAGAACAACATCAAAACCCTAAAATGCTGAGACGTTTTACATGTTTAAAAAAAGAGGAACTCAACATTGTACCTTAACACAAGCTTTTATGGTTTAGGTGTTGCAGGAATGCAGAGTGAGCAACAAAATATTCTCATTTAAGAAATTAAATAAATTCAAGGTTTAAAATGTATATCGAATTGATTAAACTTATAATTCAAGTTAAAAGCAGTTTTAATATTAATTTTTAAATATAATAATTAATTAACAAAAATATGTAACTGATCAGCAATGACGTAGATAGAATTACATTAACTCCTCAAAATCATAATGATGTTACAATTGTTTTACATCAAAACATATGATTCAACAAGACTTTAACCATAGTTGTTCTGTTTTTAAAACCACTGACCGATCATGTAATGTACACATGATGTGAAGAAAAGTGGGCATTTAATAATCTTGCTACTCAATACTCTAGGAAGAAAAATAATGTGGTGGCAATGCTGCAGGATCAAGTTCCCAAGATCCTCTTAAGCTTCCATTTCTCTCATGGGTTAGCTGGAAATATGGAATCTGATGAGAAAATCGAAGCTGATCGGCTCGAGGGATTTTGAGTGTAACATGCGTTCCTCCTTTTACCTGGGGCTTGAAAACGGAATTGAAGCCGTCTACTTTGTCTAAAAGTAAAACCTTGAAAAGAGAGTGATTTTCCTCCAAAACCTGCACTATGTCATATTCCCAGTTCTCTAAGTCAGAACATTTTATGTCTCGAGTCCAGTTCCGGTACAAGGCCCAGATTTCGCCTCTTCTAGGTACAATGGTATATTCTGCCTTCGAACCGGTAGGCTCGGCTTTTAACAAATGAGAAAAGGAATCGGTGGAGGTGTAGGTCTGGGAACCATTTCCAATTCTAAATCTCCCACAAGAAGTTGGCATGTCCGGATCAGACCACTCGACCGTGGATTCTGATGGGCTACGAAAAAGCCATCTCAAATGTATTTTGAAAACTGGATGGGAATCGACTTTCTTGATCTCACCGTAGTACTTTGGCATGCCATCCTCATCACCATACAGTGCCCATATCTGACCAATGCGGAACTTTTCCTTCGTTTTTGTAGTGTCAAAATTGTGGAATTCTGGTTCTGGAATTTCAAAAGAAGAATCCGGAGGAACAGAATTATTTGATCCCACCATTGGCTTCTCCGTTTCTGAAACTTCAGGACATGAACCACTAGGATTTCTTCCATTACCACCTTCCTCCTCCAAGTCCTCGGAAACAAAAAATTCTTCAGGTAAAGAAACAGGTTCGAGTTCAAATGAACCTTTTGGCACCCCTTGCCTCTCTTTACCGGTCAGGGCGAATGATGGAACCCTGTGTGAAAACCTGAATAGTTCCCTGGGTGGAATTAGAAATGTATCCGTATTCATTGGCGAGAAGACACTAACAAACCCTTTGACCTTAGTCAAGTAAGCAACCTGTACCCCTACACCTTCAGCATCCTCTGATAAGATCTCAACAACTTCATACTCGTGTTTTTGGGCACCAGACTTCCATTTGATATTCCAGTTCTTAAAAAGGGCCCAAGTTTCTCCTTTTCTTGGAAATATCTTATAGGTATCTCTAGATGTTCCTTTTTCCCAATATATCAAAAGGGAAAACATAAGACGATCTTCAACGTTTTCAGACCCTCCATATTTGAAGTTACCACAAGAAGCAGGTAAACCTTCACTGACCCACTGTACTTCATTCTCATCATCTGGGTCAGGTTCTAGCCACGTTATCCTCAGCTTGAACCCAGATGAAAAGACTCTTCTGATCCGAGCATAGAATCTAGGCATGGCATCCTGCGTATCATACAAAGCCCAAATCTGACCTACTTTAAAACACTCTTTTTTCTTCTCTTTGTCGAAGTCATTAAACTCAGGGTCAGGGTAATCAAAAACCTTGGGCTCTTCTGTTTCTTCCAAACTGGAATCCGACACAGAATCATCAACAGCAGGGTTTGAATTTCCCTTGATACCATCAGCAGAAGCTTCCCTAGTATTCTTACCATTGGGTAAGCTTGCCTCAAAATGCTTACCATTTCCATGGTCCATCTCCTTCTTATCTTCTTTCTCATGATTTTTGTTTACAGGCTTGTCTTCGTTGGCCATTTCTTCAGTGGCACAGTGTGATCCACTTCCCTTGGGCTTTTTTGTGGGATTAACTATGTCCTCCTCATCACTTAAATTTTCATTGTAAGAAACATGTTGCTTATGCCTCCCAGATCTCCGCACATTCTGCGGTACTTGAGAACCAACCTTCTTTCCAGACAAAGCTTCACCATTGCCATCAACCACCACATCCTCTTCTGACTTAATGCTGCTTTCACTGTCACAGCTTTCACTGGAATCAACAATTTGCTTCCTTCCTCTTTTACCATTCACTTTTTCTGTCCGGGCTTCTGAAGTGTTTGCTGCCTTTGGTACAAAAGCTGTAAAAACATTCTCCTTAGTGAACTTCCTTTGAGATTCTTGATCCGCTCTGCCAGCACTCTGATTCTGGGCAACTCCTTGTGGGGGGAAATTTGATTGATTCATATTAGTTGCCTGTGAAACTGCACCTGAATCATAGGCAACAAAGTTCTTTTTGCAAGTTTGACAACGAAGAGATCTGTGAAGTACTTCTGTATAGTACTGGTACCTAACTGTACAGTACGGACACTTTGTCCAAAAAGTGCTCTGGCCATTGGAAAACCCTGCTTGAGTTGGTGGTTGTCGCTGTTGTTGAGAATTCAATCCAGAAAAATTTGGGATATTATTCTGAGCAGCTGTGTGTGGATGCCAACTCGGATATTGCGGGGGACGAAATGCTGCTGCCGGAGTCGGTCTATTAACAGTCACTTTGCGTTTCATGTCATATGCAGATCTTTTGTCTGGATCCAAAAGTGTCCTCTGAGCATCCCCAATCAACTTAAAAGCCGCTTCTGCCCCTGGAAACTTATTCTTATCTGGGTGAAGCTGGAGGGCAAATTTTCTATACTGCTTCTTTATTGAACCTTCATCAGCTGTCTGCTCCAGCTTAAGTATGGCATACCAATCCTTCTCGTTACCAAAGAATGGTTTCTCAGCAGCACAATGCACATCACACACCATTATCATCTGAGAAATATTCTCCAGGTCCTGGCAAAGTTGTTTGGCCTTGATCGCAACTTTAAGAGCCCCAGAAAAATCCCGATTCTGCATCTTCTTCTCCGCAATGTTTTTGGCCCTGATGGCCTCTTCTTTGTTGCAGTCCATAACAAAAAAAAATCCAGACTGAGGCTGGCTTAATGTGTTTCAGAAACAAAAAGAGCTACTGATTGCTTTAGTAAACTAATTCAATTAAAATATAACGGAACTGATACTCTTCCTCCAAGACCTGTCAATTATCAGACAAGTAAGTCATCAGCCTCCTCATTGGCCCTGCAGTAGTTCACTAAATTACAACAGTTAAGAACGCAAATTTGGCAAAACCACAAATCCAAAGATATAAAAAATTATATCTATCAGAACCAATATAACATTTAACATGACAAGTTGATTTGCATGCATGAATAAGGAGTAACGTCTCTACAGAAAAGGGTAAAACACAATTAGAGACGTAAATAAACCAAGTTTGAACGAATTAAGTTGTGTTTGTGTTTGTTTATTATTTTTAAAGGTGTTCATATTCGGTTCATGTTCATTTAAATTTTTAGTACCATGTTCGTTTATTTATTTTTGAAAGTGTTCGTGTTTGTTCGTTTAACATTCGTTTAAATGTCACGAACCTACACTCTTTTTTTATCCTTTTATTTGCAAGTCAAAGAAAAATGGTAAAATTATGTCACTAGTCCTTAATTTCCTTAGGCTGCACAATTTAAACTCTAAAGTTCACTTTATGTTCAATTTAGTCCATACCTTCACCAATATTTAAAATGTAAAAAAATAAAATAAAAAGGAGAACCGAATAAATGAGCTTATAAACAAGTCGATAAAGAAGCTTGTTCATCAACATAAACAAACCAAACAGACCTTTGTTTGTGTTTGTTTGTTTATTAAATGAACATAATCGTTTATTTAACTTAATAAACAATCATAAACGAACGGTTCATTTATCGCTCTGTTTATTTACACCCTAAACACAATGTACTTGTGGCATACTTTCAAATGCATTCATAGATAGTCCCATGGGACAACAAATTAAGGGTTAAAAATTTACGATTATAGGCTTAGGAGAAATAACAAATGATGAAAGAAATTGAAGTCTTCATAATTCTGCATTGACCGAACCAACCAACCAAATTTCATCCGGGAAATTGTAACTAAATGTGTCAGAAACATGTGAGAACAAGAAAAATTCATTGACAAAAAGAAAATTACAAAAGCCATGCATATCAATATGAGTTATAAAGAATGATTTTCCATTAACATTGTTACCATAATGAGAGAAACCAAGTAAATTCCCTCTTTTCTAGCGTGTAGGCCTAAAACCCTGGTGCATAGGAGTGAGCAATATTTAACTTACTCGAAAAATCAATCTTTTCAACTCAAATTGAAAAAAATTCAACTTGAATTGACTAGACTAGTAATTTTATAAACCCGACTTGACTAAACAAATTCAAATTCAAATATATTACAAATATAATTCGAATTACTCAAAAATTTTAATAATCAGTGGATTAGTTTTCAAGTTTGAGTAAGTAACACAACTTTGTATAATATATGTATATCATATGTAAAAAATATCAATAAAATATATATATATATATATATATATATACACGTATTTTATATGATTAAATCGTTTAAATTAGACTCAGATAGTACCATAATTTTATAAAAAAATTATAATTAAATTTAAATATAAACTTGAACAACTCAATTCTGGCCCAAAAAAATTTAAATAAAGTTAGAGTATAAAATAATACTAGTCAACTCGAATAACTTAAAAAAAAATTTTACTCCATTCGATTTAAGGCTGACCCCTAATAGTGCATAAACAATATCAAACCCGTAAGACAACTAAGAAGAAATGAAAACCTAAAACCCAAACTAAATCACAAAATTCTATGTTTCTAACCCACAAAAAATGAACCAACGTTTATTAGAACAGAAATAAACCAAATCCTTAAGACTCGTTAACAAACATGAACGAAGAGGAAAACGTATATGCATTTCAGTGACAGAAAACCCAGAATAACGTAAGTCAACAAAACTTCAAAAACGAACCCTAGAATTTGAAAGGGCGGTAAAAAGAAGCAGCAGAGAAATGGAACTTGCCTGTTTATGGAAATCCAAACGAGAATAGTGGAAACCTCAAACGAAAAACAAAAGGGTTTTAGGGATTTGAGAGATACTGAGACAGAAACCATAGGAGAGGAAGGACTACGAAATTGGGGAAGAACAGAAAGTATCAGAGTACGACATGATTTCTCTATTGCCGCTGATATTGTGATTCACTCCTGGACATGGTTGTGATTTTGGTGATCTTTAGGGGCATTTTAAACGAAGTAAATTACATAAATGTCCTTATAATTTCATCAATTTACACTTTTAAGTATGACATTTTCACGAGTCGGATCGAGTTTCAATTTTTTTTATATTTCTTATAATATTGACCGGAACACGTTTCGTGAAAAAAATAATATTGTTAGAAATATTAAGTATGAGCAAGCGCATTTAATCAGATAATTAAGTTATTCATCTTTATTCTCTCGTATTTTTGTCATATAATCTAAATTTACTAATATTATCGGGTTTTTTTTCGTTAGAGTCTTCATTCTCCTCTTTTTTTAGCAGGATTACAATTATAATTAGAATTTATGAAACTAATGTCAATTATGAATCTCAAACGTAAAATTATTATTTTAAATAAGTTTGAGTTTTAGGGTTTAATAGTTTCATCAAACTTCATCATATACCGAATTATGATCCTTAACCAAAGTTTTCATTTTTCTTTCAAACAAGTCCTCGCTAATACAATGGTCATCGTGAACCGTCCAAACTAACTTATTTCCCCGCAAATTTCAGATTTCACTATAGTTGGAAGAAATAAATTTTGTATAATTATCACATCGTATAATATATCTTTTTTACCTATGAAAGGGGTAATTTAGAAAATAAAAGCAGGTGCAGGGGTAAATTATAAAATAAAAGCAGATGGAGGGAAATAATTGAGGGTAATTTTGGTAATAAGTTAATTAATTGGGGGCAATTGTGTAAAAGGAAATCAGTGGAGGTGTAAGAAGGGTAATTGTGGCAAGCACAATTAATTGAAGGGCAATTGTGGCACAAGGCTAAATTATTTTCTTAATAAAACTTAATTTATTATAAAATTATGAAATTACTAAATTATCCTTATTTTAGAATATAATTAATATTAGAGTAAAGTACACAAATGGTCCCTCAATGATAGGGTGTTATTTTGTTGAGTCCATCGACTATTAAAAGTTATAAAATAGTCTCCCGACTATATGATATTGTTTTAGTGAGCCCAAAAAATGATCATCCGACTATTCATGCATTCTAAACTCATTCTTTTTTGTTAAAAAAATTGACGTACGTCTGAACTGGACATTATTTTATTGCCTCAACAAAACAACACCTTGTAGTTAGAAGATCAAACTTTTACCGTATATCAATCAATAGGTTAACGTCCAACTCGATTGATCTTTAATTTTTTAACGGAAAAAAAGACGAGTTTATAAATGAGTAGTTGAGTGATCATTTTGTAACTTTTAATAGTCGATGGACTCAATAAAATAATATTCTATAGTTGGGGACCATTTGTGTATTTTACCCTTAATCTTATCATAATAATAATTTTCATACTTTTCAACCTTTCAAGTACTTAATGGTTAAAAAGACTATTATTTTTCATTGAGATCTTAGAATCAATTAGTTGCATCTATAGTATATACACATTTGTCAATAATTAAAAAATTTCTATGCATATATTACTTTATGATCGCTCTAAATTTATTAAAAAAAAGGAAATAAGTCGAATTTGCATATATATATATATATATATATATTCTATTTTTTCATGCAACATTATATTTATACTACACATACAAAAATACTATAAATTAATAAAAATAGATTTTGAATCGATATAAACAATTAACATTCAAGGACGTTTGATTAACGGAAAAGAATATCCACGGAAAAGATTATTACTAAGGGGATAATCTTTTCCGGAATAGTATTTTCACGTTTGATTAATGGAAAAAATCATTATCAAGTAATAACTTATTACCAATAATAATATTTTTTAGTTAAATTAGTGGAAATATAATTACCTCTAAAATTTTAGGTAATAAACAATTCATACCACTTTGGACACAAATATTCCTAAAATAACTTATTTTCATTTGAATCATTATCAATTTTAGTTCTTCGTGTTTTACTTAAAATAACAAACTTAATAATAATAATAATAATAATAATAATGTACAAAGAGTTTAATTTAATATAATATTAATAAATTGGAGTAGTTAAAATTAATTTATATTTTAATATTTTTATATTAATCATTTTGTAATTTTACGAGGTACAAATGTTATTATTGTAAAAATCGTAATTATTTAAAATAATATTTAATTTTAAGTTATTAAAAAGTAAATCTTATACATTAAAAATAATATATTTTTTCACTTGAAACCATAATATTATTTTTATATTATATTATATATATAAATAAACATAATACTTACAAAAATTATTTAAAATTATAAGTTTGATATACTAATTATATTAATTATATGTTAAATGTATTTTTCTTTAAATTTGGATAGTGTAACAATTAAAATATTTTTATCTATTTTCATTCAAATATTAATAATTATTATTAAAGTTTAACTTGTTAAAAAACATATATTACAAGGATAATTTAGTAAAACATGCATTCAAATAATCTTATATTACTCCAATTAAATATTGTAATCTTATATTTTTAATAAAAAACTAAATAAGATAATATAATATTCCGAAAATAATGTCATACTAACAATAGACATAATCACAGTGCTTGCTTGCCTGTTAAGGCGTTAATCCTTCCCAAAAGCCATATATCACGTTCAAATCACGTGATTTCAAATCTGATCCGCCACGTAAGCCCGACATATTAAATTTATCGTACTTTTAATTTTCAAATTTAAATTATTTTCCCGCTCATTTCCACAGTTCCTCTCTCTCTCTCTCTCTCTCTTCATTTGACAAAATCGTTAAAGCCAAAATTTGTCTCTCAGAGTCTCACTAATTTCTTCTTCATTCATAAAGCTCCCAGCAAAAAATTCTTCCCAAAATACCCTAACTTCATCTCTCAATTTTCAAATCCGAACCCTAACAGCCTCGGCATGAACCAGTATCACATCTACGAAGCCATTGGTCGTGGCAAATATTCGGTAAATCATA